ATTAAATAAGATAGAAAAATGTTTTAATATACTATCTTTCTCAATGATAGCTTAGATAGGGGTGCCGAATATTACATGAAAATTATACAAAATTTATGAACGTCATTCATCATTGATCGAATCGCTTGAGAAGAATAATGTGATATTTTCTTTTATAAATAAAAATTTTTATATGGTTACAAATTAAGATAAATATTTCGTTCATAAAAAATGTCGAAAGAAACAATAAAAATCAATTATAATTTTCAAAATAAATGGATTCATATCTTGAAAGGGAAAAATATATTCTCTTTTGATTTGAGCGAATGCTTATACATAGGGTGTATCATAAGTGTAAGCCGCTATTTAAAGAACGTATTTTATTTATCAAAATAAGTAATAGTATATTGTGTATGAAGTGCGGAAACTCGCCTTCGGCTCGTGCGTCCATCCCCCACACTCGTGACCAATTGTCAACTTTCCGCACGTGATACACATACTATTTTGTATTACAAGTGCAGGTAAAGTGGCTTTGTGCGCGTTTTCTGTGCGCAAGGTGGCCGATCGCACGCCGCCATCTTGCGGCGGCACGGTGCGGGAATAGCCGTGTTCAAAGTCATTGCCCACGGCTTTAGCTGTGGGCAATGACTTTGAACGCGGCTCAGCCGTAAGCAATCGCTTTGAACGCGGCTTATTCACTCACCGCGTCGCCGCTAGATGGCGGCGTGGGAAATCGGCCGTTTTCCGCACAGAAAACATGCACACAAAGTGCCACTTTGCCTGCACGTGTAATACAAAAAAATTTATTTAAACATGATTTTTTATTGGTTCCTTCGTTCTATTAGAACGTTTCGTAGATGCTTACAGACAATTTTTGGAAAACAATTTGTTCAGTTTGAGAATTATTTTGAGATATGAGAATTATTGTCTACTGTTTTATATTGTTGGAAAGAAAATAATACGCTTTTTAATTATTTTAAATTTTAATCCAAATGATAGTGACGTGAAACGCATTTTTTAACATATGATATGTTTTGTATGAACTTTTTTTGTTCATTTCGATGAATAGAATTATATGCTTTTAAAGTAGAGGCTCATGTGTTTACGATATATTTTGTCTGTGTCAATATTCGTCTATATATCGGTGGAAACGCATAATTTGTAAATTAATAACGAGAAATATAAAAGATGATTTTTAAAAAAAATTTTATATTTATATCATATAGAAATATTAGTATTTTTGTATAGAATAATTTGATGAAGGATACATTTTTATCAATAAAATGTTTCTTACTGAAAACCGAAATTATTTGGTTTCTCTTTATTGAAATTAGACTATTAACATTTTAAACTATTTACATTTTCCAATTTCTCTGATATACGATTTTTTTTCTATTTAAATATTTCAATAATGTTTTGTAAATTCGATGTATCTGATATTACAAGAAAAAAACTATTACGAATAAATAATGTTTAGTAGTATATCGTAGATTATTTATATATTTTTAGAATAAATTAATAATTATCTAAAAAGAAGTATTAAGAAAAGATGATTAAACATTTTTCGTTCTGTATAGTTTACGTTTAAAAATATTTAGAGTTAAATATTTTTCACGTGAATCTCACAACTTGTTGCAAAAAATTGATACTAATTGATTGCTACGACCTAGGGGCGATAGGGAACCTATCGTTTGGAAAGCTATTTGAAAGAAATGTTCTCGTTTTCCATGTAAATTTATATATTTATATACAAAACAATTTATATATAAACAATTTTCAAAGCGACCGGAAAAAACTCCATTGCAAAAATAAAAGCTCGCTTCTGCGACAATCTTCATTGCTACTCATGGTTGAAAAAAATTGATATTGTTTTCATGATTGCACCTAAAAAAACATACGATTTTGAAACACGCTGGTTGACAATTCGCATGTTATATTATTATATGATATCCATCGAAAAACCATTAAGAGACGATTGTTGACAAGGATTTTTAAAAGATCATTACATTTTTATTGGATCGTTCTATCTACATATGAATTTTTTGAAATAAAAAGAAATCAATACTTATAAATAATTTCACAAAATTTTCCGATTTCAAAAAATCATTACATTTTTATGGATCGTTCTATCTATATATGAATTATTCGAAATAAAAAACATCAATAGCATAATACAATCAATAATTATAAACAATTTCACAAAATTTTCCGATTTCAAAAAATCATTGCATTTTTGCGGATAGTTCTATCTATATATTGTATGTATATGAATTATTCGAAACAAAAAATCAATAATTATAAATAATTTCACAAAATTTTCCGATATCGCGAATAATAAAGTCGAAAACATTATTACGTCTCCATTGCACTGTTGTCCGATCGTTGCACTCTGCATATCAGCTGACGAATATCTAACCGCGCGAATTGTCATAAAACACTTGAAATTTGCAAGACGAAAAAACAGAGTCAGCCGAGAGGGATGGATGGATATCGCGAAAGGGAAGAAAAAGCGTGCAAGAGAGAGAGAGAGAGAGAGAGAGAGAGAGAGAGAGAGAGAGAGAGAGAGAGAGAGAGAGAAAAGAGGAGGAAGGCGGAGGATTGCTACCAAGAAGAAGAAGGAGAAACGAGCCAGGAAGAAGTCAACGTCCGAAGATTACGGCAATGACATTCACTTTTTCTCACTCTCCGCCTCGTGTTTCTCTCGTGCTTTCCGGGCTTTTTTTTCTCTTTCCTTTCCGCCCTCTCCTTGTTTCTCTCATACGGTGATGTTCTACGTCCTCTTCTCTATCGATCGTGCGAAAATGTCGGGATACAGAGTGAAGTATTTTTGGGAAGTTGCCCAAAGTCTTTTTGACACGATTCAACGTAATGAAAAGGTCATCGAAATTCGTGATCTTTATTCAACAGCGAAAAATGCAGGAAAAAATATTCATATTAAAAACATATAGATTTTGTTAAAGTCTTTTTTATGTTTTATTAAGCCTAGGATTTGTTGTGGATATCAATATTTGTAGGTATAAAAGAATATTGAAATATAAAATTATTATATTACAAGATGTCTGATATTTTATTATGCTAGAATGTATCAAGATAAAATATAAAATATCATGTATATATATAATATTTAACACTGTTCGACGATATCATTTTAATATTTTGAACGCGATAAAAAGATCACCGAATTTTGTCAGCTTTATCTCGTAGCGAAAAATGCAAGAAAAAAGGCTATCCATATTAAAAATGTATAGATTTTGTTGCTTTTTTTCTTCGCAAGATTTATCACATTAATAAACTTTTTTTAAAAAAGTTTTCTATACAAAAGTCTATGTATATGTAGGTCTAAAAAAGAATATTAAAATATAAAATTATTATGAAAATTAATATATTACAAGATGTCTGATATTTTATTATGCTAGAGTATATCAAGATAAAACATAAAATATCACGTATAATATTCAATTTAATATTTCATCTATTTTGAAATAGTTATTCTCGACACACTTGACAGGAACAGATTTTCTTCTTTAATATTATCAAATAACAAAATATGATTATAGCGTCTGGTATCAAGTATTGTATACATATTCCAGATATAAAATTTTCAAATAAATTGTTTATTTGAAAACTGAATTATGAATAATGAAAAATTATTTTTATTTATTGAGATCTTTTACGGGTTGTGTCAGATCTGTTAAGAGAAAATAAAAGAGAAGATAATTTCTTTATTCTTAGAATAAATTTGATGTTTCTTTCTCTTATAAATAAAAGTCTCTGAATTAATATTTTATAGGTAAAAATATTAAGATTAAGAAATTATCTCTTGAACAGTGAATTATATGTGATATTTCATATTTTATCTGATATATTTTGACATAATAAAATCTGACATCTCATAATATATTCACTTTTGCGATAATATTATTTAAATACTTTTATACACATATTTTACAGCAAATTCTCTCTAGACTGATGTAAAAAAAACTTTTTAAAAAAGTCAGAAAAATATGTAAAAAAGATTATGATATATGGAAATTAAAAAATTGTGACTTTTTTATAACTTCCATAACATTCTTTTATTTTATCATATTAACAAGAAATTTTTCGAGAAATTGTTCAGAGGAATATTAAGAATATGTGAGTGAAAAAAGTGAAAATAGAAAAGTTAGATTACTCAAAAAGTTTAAATGAATGAAGAATACGAGGAATACGTTTAATTGTATATTAAGAATCATCTTTAAATGGACAAATGGGTTTATATAATTCCCACAAGTCTTACAGTATTGTGCTAAGATTTTAAAATCAACTAGATAAAGATGAGATAAAAATGTGTAAATTTATTTTACAAGCTAAGATGAAGATGATTTTATTTTAAATATATCTAGATAAAAGATATAAAATTATATGGCGATTTATCTAGATAATTTTCTAGAGAATAATTTTTAGAACTGCTTGTGTGAAACATAGTTATAGAAAAATATATAAATTATAAAATATAAATATAAAAATATATGTATTCATATTTTTATTTATTAATTTTTATCGCTTACTACTTAAGTTCTACTATTTAAGTATTTTTATGTGCTATGATTCTAAATCAAAATTATCTGAAAATTATTCTAGGTAATTTAGTAAAGACAATACTTTTTTAAACTAAGATGCAGATATAGATATAGATAATACATATTTTTCTTATGTATATAAAGATAGGATGACGTCAAAGTTTCATCTAAATGATCCTCTATATAATTTTATTTAGATAACAGTAAACACTGAAATCCTAAGAACCTCATATTCACATGCACTTATTATTTCTTAAACACAATTACGTTTTTCTTTTTTTTTTACGATCGTGCCGTTAATTTATCCTTGGTTTCTGATTTTCTTTTCCTTTTGATTTATCTTTCAGCGAGATGGCTCAAGTGAAATGCCGACGGACGTGTAATAAACCATTGAAAATCAGCGAGCAAGTGCGCGCCGGGAAAAAGTTTAGCCCATAAGAAGGAAAAAAGAACGAAAAAAAGATAAGAAGTAGAGAAAAGAAGAAACACAAGTTATACGAAAAAAATACGAGGAATCTCGATGTAAAGTCTCGATCGCGAATCCCAAAAATAATGGGTTGAACTTTTGGGTGGTGTCCTTTTCTTTTTGCACGTAGGAAAAGAAGCTAAAATGGAAACTCGACGAAGCAAAGACTTTTGCGCTGATTGCGTGACTTAACGAAATATAGATTAGGATCTGTGCATTTTTACGTATAAAAGAAAAGAAAATCCATATATTTGGTGACAAAGTTTTCGACGAGATAACCCTTAACGTGTTGAAGAATTTTGAAAAGTGTTACCAATTCTTTGAAAAAAATTGTTAAATGATCTCGCTCTTCATCAACTTTCAGCCTTCGATGCACAAGTTTAAATACCTAGTAGCGTCTTATCAAGTAGCAGTGTAAATGCAAATGCAAGAAACGCCGAAGCTGGGAAAGGACGGCCGCGAGATAGACGGGGAGATGTAATATCTGCGCGGGAACGAGAAAACATTACTCAACGGAGGTTCAAGGACCTCGCGAAGTCGCGAGGAAGACGAGACAAGACGGTTGTTGCAATTCCGAGCGAGTTTGTTACACCAAAATCGATTATCGATTGCACTAGGTCGATTATCCCTAGATCGATTTTACTAGATATCATCGGATATTCGATATCTTACGGGACACAAGAATCAATCGAAGAATCTTTATTAAGAAAGAAAAATGTAATTTCTCACGGTTGTTGCAGTTCCGAGCGAGTTTGTTACACCGAAATCGATTATCGATTGCACTAGATCGATTATCCCTAGATCGATTTTACTAGATATCATTGGATATCTGATATCTTATGGAATGCAAGAATAAATCGCTTCATTCAGAAAAGTATAATTTTTCAGAACCCAAATCTGATGAAATGTTGAATGAATAAACAAACTGCCAGATATCTTTTTCACGAAACTCATAAAGTAGACAATAAAATAGTCTCACTGATGACACATTCTGCGAATTTTGTTTGTTCAACCTGTGCCAGGTGCCGATCAATGTTCTCCTCGACAAAGAACATCTTATATACGAAAGATATTCCCCGATCGAAGTAACGTTACACCAGGTTGGGGTGCGCGAGTAACGAAGGAAAGTTCAACCGATGAGGGAAGTTGGACGAACACAAGTTTCAAAGTATCGAGAAGCGCCTAGTAATTCATCGAGCTTATTAAAAGTGATAGCTGCCTTATTATACCTTCTACCAAGAGAACAAGTTCCGTCGTATCAATATAGATAATATACATCCGGAGCGAAGAGTTGGGACACGTACGAGATTCGTGAAGTGGGCAATTGAGTCGCGCAACCAGGAATTTTCTATATAACAAAGTGGCCCCGTCCAAGGATCCATGAATGCTGAATGCATCGTCGCCAGGCAAGTGTGACGTCGACGATCGTCCGATGCCCGTACAATGGACGTTTTCAAACTCGATCAGTCGCTGAGCGCGGGTTTGGGCAGCGCCCCGGCGCCGGACACCCTCACGCCGGAAGTGTCGTTCGACGCCGGCAGTGAGTTCAACCTGAGCTTCTTCGACGGCCCGGAGGAGAACAACAGCACCCAGGGCTTCAGCGATCCCGGCTCCGTGGGTAGCACCAGCGCCTCGCCGCCCCCGGGTACACCTGGAAGCTCCTCGGTCCCTCCCACTCCGGTCGCCAACGTCACGGCCACGCCGGCTTCCGCTCCAGCTTCTTCCGCAGCCGGCGTTAATAATCCGCCTCTGCCGATTGTTCAAGTACCCTCCGCGGGCATCGTCATTAAGCAAGGTTTGTTTTATTTCTTTTTTTCATTACGCGATCGTGGACTCTTTTTTTCTGGTTTCTGGTTCTCGAAGATCTTATTCGAGCTTCGTTTCCATTTTTTCGAATTTATTCGAGAGAAATTACGATACGAGGCTGTTTACTGATATTGACGTTCATGCTTATAATATTATAGATGTTATTATATTTATAGAGTATAATTACACTGTTCAAGAACAAAATTAACCAGAATGAGACTAGTTTTTTACAGGTTTCTGGATGTTGAATAAGAATTTAGGTTCCAAATTATTCCATAACGTCACAATTTTGAGAAATTTTTAATTCAAGCAAAACAGGACTTTCTTCACGAACTTTGTTTATATTATAGCTACAATATGTGTTAAAGAAGTTTTATTGCAATCAAAATAAAGTATATTGTTAGAACTTTCAATCCTCAAAAGGAATTTTGTTGGTTATGTCGATGTTGGTTATCGTCAATAAGATATCCATGGTTAAATGGGATGACTTAGGTCATTGGCAATTTGCCAAATAAATTTCAATCATGTTTATTTAATTTTAAAGGTTCCACTGAATACAAGTCTAGTATCAAATCGAAATGGTGGACTCAATATGGCGCATTTATATAACAAAAAGCATTTTTAAAGACATCCCCCATATTGGGTATCATTTAGAATTTGACAATTTTGACATAGAATTCGCATTCAATGACCTAAAAAAATATTTAAAAGCTATTTAGTAAATTGTCAATAACCTAATTGTAAGTCACAGCTAACTTTCTCAACACAGCCCATTTTTAACCATGGATATCTTATTAAGCATAAACGAAATCAAAAATTTCTTTTGAGGGTTAAAATCCTAACACACTTTATTTTGATTGCAATAAAACTTCTCCAGTACGTCACATATTGTAGTTAGAATATGACAAAGTTCGTGAAAATAGTCCTTTTTGCAACTTTAATTAAAAATTTCTCAAATTTATGACGTGATGGAGCAATTTGGAAACCGGATTCGTACTAAGCCTTCAAAAAACTAGAAGCGATTATTAGTCTCGTTCTGGTGTTTGAAGAGTCATTTTTTGTTGAACATTGTTATATATGACTTTATCGATCATCACGGGAATATTTGCTATCTCAGCAGAATTCTGTATTTAAATCTTTTCTAACATGACTAAAAAGTAAGACATTGAAATAAAAAAATGCATTTTATAGGGGATGAATAATATGTTCGTGACATCTGATTAATATTTCCAGATAACGTTAATCTTTTTCACAAAAAATCATTTATTTCATATTAAACCACAGTTATTTCGAAAACCTGACGTACTGGTGAAAATTTCCTTGCAGCATCTAAAAATTTGTAAGAAACACTTGTCTGGTTCAAAATAATGAAAACATTTTTTTATAAACTAATGTAATTTTTTATTAACTCGTTTTAGAACTCGTTTTGAAAAATTATTACATTAACTTTACTCTATCATACCATTATACTTTGTAAATTGATTAAAAACTAAAAAGACAAATTTAAATTCACACGTGTTAGTATAAAAGATTTTCTATTAAGATTGATTTGTTGTGTATAGAACACAAATTCTTTTCTTGGTGTGGTAAAGTAATTAAAATAAATCTTAATTTGGAAGGTTTATTTATTTTAATAAACTTTTGACCTTCCTCCTGAAAGCGTAAGCAAGAAAAATATCGGGATAAATTCGCTGAATCAGGATTGGGAGATTTATTTTACTTGATATCATACCAAGAAAAAATCGTGCCTTATGCACAATACAAAATAGTTTCAGTGCAAAATTAATTTTTATTAAAATTAATGCACTATAATATCCGTTTTAATTAGCTTGATGAAATTTAAATTTGTAGGTATTTCAAATTGAGAGCTTTACTATATAATTTCTTGATTAAAAATTCAAAGTTATCAGATCAATTTTGAGTATTGGCAATTTTATTGAGATTCATAAATGGAGCATTTTCATCAACAGAAAATTACACTCGTGACTGATCCAGATTTATAGAGAATTAAAGATTCGATGAAGATAATCACAATTAAAACAAACATTCAGTTTCTTGATTAAATATTATTAACATTACCATAATAATTAATTTTAATTAATTATATATTTTTATATTTCAAATTATATATTTTGTAATACATATTTGATATATTATATATTGTATATTTAATATATATTATTATATTATATATGTATTATTATGTATATTTAATATATGATACGATTATTATATATGATATTTATTATACAGGGTGTTTTAGGAGGAATGGTTAGTATTGAGGACATGATTGCACACATTATTTTAAACAAAAAAATTCATATGAAAAAAATATTTGTTAACTTGACTAAACTTTTCAACTAAATATTTTCTTAATTGAAAATTATATATGGGTCATTCCACGTCAAATCGGCCACTCCTCCCCCTCCGCCCAAAATTGTATTGAAGTAAATTTAACTTTCAAGGTACCAAAATTTAGCTTGAAGCATCTAGTTTTTTATGCTGTGTGGCGATTTTGAAAAATTAAATAATGACTTTGGTTTTGTCAGTTATATAAAAAATGGTATGTATTTTTTTATTCAAATCTTTATTATTTCCTTATAAATAGAATACAAAAGTCATTTTCAATGTAATTTGATTCGCTGAATTCGAATCTGAAGTTAGAAAAACAAAATTTTTATTTTTACAGATAAATAATTAGTTATTGATATTTACTTCTAAAAAATAAAATTAATGTTATTATTTGTAAAAACATTTTTTTCTCTTTTTATTACGACATTTCTGTGCTAAAATATTAACTAATTATCGTATTCTGCATAATTATATTTTTAATATTTTATAAAAAAACTTTATGCGTTTATACCGGGTTAATGTTGTCTGTAGATTATTTTTCAAAGCCCACATTACTTTTTCTTTTCTGAATTTTTTAGTTTAAAAAATTTTTTAATTTTCAGTTTTTTTAAGTTTTTAAATTTTTAAGTTTTTAATTTTAAAGTTTTTAAGTTTAAATTAAATTTAAAAAATTTTTATTATTTAAAATGTAAAATTTGGGGCTAAAAAATAATGTGCGTAGGAAAAGAGAAGAAAGCATTTTTAAAAATAATAACATTAATTTTATTTTTTAGAAGTAAATATCAATAACAACTAATTAATTATTTGCAAAAATATATATTTTATTTTTCTGACTTCAGATTTGGATTCAGTGGATCAAATTACATTAAAAATTACTTTTATACTTTATTTGTAAGAAAATAGTAAAAATTTGAATAAAAAAATACATACCATTTTTTATATAACTGACAAAACCAAGGTCATTATTTAACAATTTTTAAAATCGCCACACGGCATAAAAAACTAGGTATTCAAGCTAAATTTTGGTACCTTGGAAGTTAAATTTACTTCAATACAATTTTGGACAGAGGGGTGGCCGATTTGACGTGAAATGACCTATATATAAATATTTAAATTAAATCTTAAGTAAACGTATATTTGACTTACTAATATATATTTAATTAACAAAATAGTAATTTAGTTGAAAGGTTCAGTCAAGTTAACAATTTTTTATTCAGTGTACAATTATGTCTTAAAATACTGATTATTCCTCCTGAAACTCCTTATGTATATTTAATATTATATATTTTTATTATATTATATAATTTTATATAAAAACGTCGCGAAGGAACTTGGCGTCTTTTAATGTAACTTTGATACTTCGCCGTTTTATATGGGAACATTTATTTATAGCTCCGTCCCGTGCGTTATACGCTTGATGTGTCTATGTTTTAACGTTATTTTACATCCTGAGCACACAGACGACGTGTATAGCGCTTCTCTTAAAGGTTAGAATACAAATTGAAAAGGTCGCTTCCATAATGCGATGCTCACAAATCGTTCACGATCGCAAGAATTGCGTTAATCTTAGCGCGATCTGCAAATGCAGATTTTACTTCCGTCTATGATTTTATTTTTGACTAAAGATTGGAAAAAACGTGAAGTAAATTTGATGAATTCAAAGATCGAAGAATTGATTTCTCGTGTTTGTGAATCGAGCTTTATATACTTTGCTCGTGAGAAAAGTTAGACACCGACATTTCACTCGCGAAAGCACGCGAGCGAAATCGTTTTCATCTTTGTTCTAGCCTTTTCCTTTTTTTATTTATTGTTGGAAAGCAATATTACAGAATGTAATTTTTTTACTTTCGATATTCAATATTCTTTGATATCACAGGTTCTCAAATATAGCATATTAGCCATTTATAGCTGTAAATTATATTTTTGCATACCTACGCGTCAAGAAAGATTAACAATAAACTGCATAAAAATTATACCTCACCAATTATAACCTACCCAAGTAGTAAACTGACGTCATTAAACATCAAAATGTCATTTTAATATCTATATGACATATGCTTGCTACGTGAATAACCTAACCTAATTCAACTTTACTTTTACAACTGAAAATAGGTTAGGTTAGAATTTTTTGGGATGAGAATTTTGTTCCATCTAACAAACTTTTTCAATTACAAAAATAGCAAATTATTATAACATACACAAATTTCAATGTCAAACTTCAATTTGTTATATCTTCTAAACTAGAAGAACCTTTCCTGCAACATATAAATGGTGATAAAATCGGCGAGGTGTAACCTTTAATGTAGTTTTACCGAATAATAATTTTTTATTATTCGATAAAACTATATTAAAGGTTACATTTATTATTAATAAATTATATAGACGAATAATTCGCGAGGATGCATAAATTGATTTATTTTTCACGGAAATTTGAATTATTTGTAACATTCCGTATACGTTTATGAATTTTTTCCGCGAAACCAAAGATGGAAAAATTATGTGTATTTTTTGACAAATAATTCTAGCGTGAAAAGGGACCACACAATTGGGAATTATTGGGTTACATTATACATTCTGGGAGAGGAGGGGGCATCTTAGGCGGCGATCTGATGGCAACCGCCGAAAATCCAACTTTGA